AGCTCCTGGCCTAGTTTTCACAGCTGATATTGAGCTTCTCCAGAAGTTTTTTCCGCAGATGTAATTGATCTGATACCTATGCATGCCATCAGGTGAAATCAATAAGTCATTGATTGTACAAAATTCAGTCATTCTATCTCCAGCTTCATTTCTGTCACCAAGCCCATATTTTCCAAGTACTTCTCTGTTCCCAACTTTTGCGTTCCAGTCACCCATTATTATCAATGCATCTTGATTGCATGTTCGATCGATCTCCGACTGTAAAAGTTGGCAGAAATCATCTATTTCTTATTCTTTGGCTCTGGTTGTTGGTGCATATATCTGAATGATAGTGGTATTCACTGGACTTCCTTGTAAGCGTATGGATATAATCCTGTCACTCACAATTTTGTACTTCCAGCTGGATCTAGAAATTACTTTTTTAACTATGAAAGCAACCCCATTTTTCCTCACCTTTTCATCTCTGGAGTAATATTTCATATGATCATCTGACTCAAAATGTCCCATGCCAGTCTGTCTTATCTCTCCAATACATAGTATGTCGATATTTATGCGTATTCCTAAGGACCAAGCTCTGGTGGCCTATTGGTAAGAAGCTGCACTGCAATCTCAATGGCACACAGTTTGAGGCCACTAGCTGCTTTGCAGGAGAAGGATGGGCAGTATCCTGTGTGATTAAATGCCTCTTGAAAACCTGCTGGAGGGTCAGCTATGGGTCGGTTCTGACTTGACAGTATACAACAATTCCAAAAAATCCTGATAAAAATTGAACATGAAAGCCACTGTACCATTTCTTTCTTTATCCAATTAAAGCCTTCACCTAAACATACACTTAATACATTACAAATGGCTTTAGTAGTAGATATCACCCTTTCCCCCAATACACAATTCTTTTATTATATTAATTTTGGCCTTTTTATTTGCTTTATTTTCACTATATGAATACAGATTGTTCTTCCCCCAATTTCTTGTAACCTTTATTTGGAGGTAGGAAGAAGAGACATTTTTCATGATACTTAGCACAATTAATGTTGTTATGTGCTCTCGAGTTGTCTGCAACCCATAGCAACTCTATGTATAACAGTTCTGAACCCTGCCTTGTCCTGAGCCAATCTCACTAATTGCAACACACCAACCCCCATTGCCTCAGATACTGTATCAATCCATCTCATCTGGGGTCTTCCTCTCCTCCAACTTTCTGAGAATGATGTCTCTCCTGGCCATATACCCAAAGTATGAGACAGAGCTTTAAAATCCTTGCCTCCAGGGAGAAACTTGGTTTCATCCTCTCCGAGAGAGACCTGTTTGTTTTCTTGGCAGTCCATGGTATGTTCAAGACTCTTCTTCAGCACCACAACTAAAAGGCATTGATTCTTCTTCTGTCATCCTTAGTCATTGTCCACCTTTCTGATGCATAGAAAGTTATTGCAAAGACTATGGCCTGGATCAGGTACACCTTAGTTTCTAGACTGTTGTTGTTTTTCAGCACTCTGGAAAGGTCCCTGACAGCAGATTTTCCCAATGCATTTTGTCTTTTGATTTCCTAACTGCTGGTGTTAATTAAGAGTGTTGATTGTGGAGCCGAGCAAGCTATCATTATTAACAACCTTAATCTCCTCTCCATCATGGTGCTTCCAGTTGCCCAGTGGTAAGAATCTTTGTCTTCTTGATACTGAGCTTCAATCCATATTGAAAACTACAGTCCTTGACCTTCTGCACCAATTGCTTCAGGTCTTCTTCAGTTTCACCAGGCAAACTTGTGTCATCTGCATAACGTAGGTTGTTGAAGAGTGTATCTCCAGGCCTGATGCCACATTCGTCTTCATAAAGTCCTGCTTCCTGAATGATCTGTTCTACATATAGATTGAAAATACATGGAGACCAGATGCCTCCCTGATGTACTCCTTTCTTGATTTTGAGTCCTGCAGTGTTTCCCTGTAGCACAGTACTAGATTTAAATTAAAAAGCAGTATATGTTTGTTCTGCCGAAAGCATCCTTGATTATAGCAACTCGAGGTTTGAATTTGTTCTTCAGTTCCTTGAGCTTAAGATATGCTGGGCGAGTTCGGCCCTTTTGATTTTCCGACTCCAACTCCTTGCACATTTCATTGTAATATTTTGCTTTGTCATCCCGTGCTGCCTTTTGAAATCTTCTATTCAACTCTTTAGTATCTTGAATTCTTCCCTGTGCTTTGGCTTCTCTGCGCTCCAGTGCAATTTTCAGAGTCTCTTCTGACATCCATTTTGGTCTTTTCTTCCTCGTCTGTCTTTGCAGTGACCGTTTGCACTCTTCCTGGATGATACCCTTGATATCCTTCCACATCTCATCTGGCCTTCGTTCATTAGTGGTGACTCGACAGCACATAACAACAACAACAACAACATATGTTTGTTAATACATGACTTAAGCCCACGAAAAATGAAATATTAGAGATTTTAAATGAGGACATATTAAAAAATATTTAACCCAGTGGAAATTTTTAGTTCATAACTCATTAACAATGTACAGAAGAACTCAGGTGACCTGTTGTTATTATGTACCATTGAGTTGCCTGCAACTCATAGCAACCCTATGTACGATAGTTCTGAACACCACCATATCCTGAGCCAGTCTCACTGTCTCTGACACATCTACTCCCAATATCCCCTTCACTGCGTCAGTCTATCTCATTCTGGGTCTTCCTCTCCTGCACTGTCCCTCCACCCTTCCAAGCATGATTTCCTTCTTCAAGGCCTGTCCCTCCTGTCCACATGCCCAAAACATGTGAGACAGAGCTTCCGTCTTTGTGTCTAAGAAGCAGCTTCATTTCACCCTCCCCAGGACAGACCTGTTTCTTCTTTTTGCAGTCCATGGTATTATATTCAGTATTCTTCTCCAGCACCGCAACTCAAAGGCATTGTTTCTTGTGTCCTCATTAATCATTATCTAGATTTCTGATGCATAGCAAGTTACTGCAAAAATCTTGGCCCGAATCAATCTCTAGAAATGGGCTTACAGCTGAAAGACAGGTAGTTCAGGTCTATCAGCTGCTCTGCATGAAAAAATAGTCAATCTCCTGTGCGATTTATAGCTTCTAAAAATTTACTGGAGGGTCAGCTATGAGTTGGTTTTAACTTGGTGGCAAACAGTAACAACAGTATACAAAAATATGTTGAAACTACCAAACTATGAAAGGTATGGATTAATTTTAATATTTTATTATAGATATATTTCTGAATTCTAGTGTCCAGATATAATTTTTTTTATTTCCATTATGCAGTGGATTGATATTAAAATTCCTTTTTGAGTTTACCTTTCTAAATGCAGAGATATTTTTTCCCAAACATACAGCTGTCTTGAACTGTATCTGCTACACTCTTTTTGACACATTTTTCTCTCTTCCTTTAAGTTTGCCTTTCAGTAGAATTCTTGGTTTCTTGCCTTGTCTTTTATTTATTTGGTGAAATTTTTAATCCTTTCTATAGTGAGAAATCTGTGTGGCCTATTGATAAGAAGCTGTGCTGCAATCCCAGAGGTAATAGGTTTGAATCCACCAGAAGTTCCATGGGAAAAGGATAGGCAGTCTACTCCCCTACAATTTAATGCTTCTGAAAACCTGCTTGAGGGTCAGCTATGAGTTGATTCTAACTCAATGGCATACAGTAGCAAACAGAAAAGTAGTTCAGTATTTGCTGTCTACACAAGATCACTAAAAACAACACATTTCTTAATCATGAATTCTTACAAGTTCTCTGCTTATAGTTCCAAAGTTTCTTATTTTCTACTTTTTTTGGACATAACATGATCTAAACAGTTGTATCTGAATTAAAACTAGGAATTTACCATTTAAATTTATTAACTAATTATTCTGCATTTATCATATGCTTGCTCAATTTCAAGACACTATGTTCTAAGGGTACAGAGTTGATTATAGAAATAAACAATCTAGAAGGGAAGAGAAAACTAGAAACAAGTAATTTTTGCATATGTTGTGAGGAGGAGCTAATCCTTGGAAAAAGACTTTATGCTTGAAAAGGTGGAGGGTTTGTGAAAGAAAAGAAGATCTTCAGCAAGATGGATTGACACAGTGACTGTGATGATGGCCTCAGGTGTGTCAGCGGTGTTGTGAGTGGCATAGGATAGGGCAAGGTTTACAGGGTTGCTGTGAGTTATAGAGTCGTAGTTAACTTAATGGCACCTAATAACAACCACCAAGGAAATTATATAGTAAGGGAGCTCTGAGGGCTTACTGTGAAGGAGTTCCACTGCCGTCCCAAAGATGTGTGGTTCAAATCTAGCAGCTGTTCTGAAACTCACTGATGGGTCAGCTTTGAGTCAATTCCAACTTGATGATACATAATAGCAACATTATAGATGGACTAATATGATTTGCATTTGTAGCATATTTAAGAAAAATTTAACTTGGTATCTATGCCTTAAATTAAATACACACTCTCTTTGCTTTATAGGTCCTTTTCCATGTGATATATGTGGTCGTCAGTTTAATGACACTGGAAATTTGAAGCGCCATATAGAATGTACTCACGGTGGAAAGAGAAAATGGACTTGTTTTATCTGTGGAAAATCAGTAAGAGAAAGGTAAGAAATTGCCCAGATTCTCATACAGTTACATAAAAATAAGTACAGAATCTACTGAATACTAAGGAGTTGATAGCATCAGATAATTCTCGAGCTGATGGTACAGGAAAGAACAAAGAACATTAAAACAGAATGGTTTAAGAAATTAGATCATTGGATATCCTCCTACTGCTTACATTGACTATTGCTGCTGGACACCTACTTCTCTCACGTAGGGTAGAAATCCAGAGCACTCATTTTTCTTCTAGAGAGGGTAAAAATAATTCCTGATTGTCATGTTACGTTATTGAATACTAAAAGCAGGGAGTCCTGTCCTTCCAATAAATATTTTATATTTTTTCTTCCAGGCAGTAGATCAGAAGATTCCCTAAAATATTTGAGTAATCTGAAGACCATTTTATTCTTTAGTGGATGGAGTACCCAGAACACTAACAGTGACAGTCATCAAAATGAATCCATTTGCTTCGCCCTTCCTAGTTACTTTCAGCCTGTCACATTTACTTATGAACAGAAAGTTAAGGATTATAAAACAGAAAGAAAACCTTTGGGATAAATTCCAACATAAACAGAATAAAAAGAACTTGAGGAAATAGATTATACAAGAAGAAAGAACCTTCAGAAAAATAACTGTTACCCCCTAATTTAATATATAGAATACTTTAACAAGAATGGACTCCTCTATAAAGGGATGATTTAGCTAGCAAACCAGAGTTTTCAGACATTAAAAGCATATTGAAGCATTCTAAAGCATAGAATTGTTCACTGTCTTGTCCTATATGCAAGTACTTTTAGAAGTGCCTTAAGAAAGATACTGTTCCTTTAAGAGCACACATAATCTCTTCAGTATGTAAAAGCTCCTTAATCTAATAGAAATATCAGTTCTTTAAAATGGACGTGGTTATGATGGCAACCAACAAAACCAGTGTGCTGTATTTATATGAAAACTCATACTCAGATTAATCCACTGGAAAGTTTATTATGTGTAGTATAAATGAACACTTCCTGCTTAAAGATCTTTTTGTGCAAGCAAGCTGCAAATAAACAAATTTATCAACAAAACGATCCATGTTTTTGCTGCTAAGAATATTTAATCTATTCCTGTAAAGATTGAAAACAAAAACTAATGCCATCATATTGGTTCCTGCTCTGAGCACCTTGCATCAGACTTCTGAGACTGTAAATCTTAATGGGAGGAGACTGTCCATCTTTCACCCTCGGAGCAGCTGATCTATTCAAACTGCTAACCTGCCAATCTTTTATTTAGCAGCCCGATATTTCACATGCCACTCCATCAGAGCTCTTGAAAAAAATAGTTGTTATTGTTGTTGGTATTGTTGAGTTAGAACCAATTCATAGCCGACCCTCCATTACTGTTTTTAGAGGCTGTAAATCACATGGGAGCAGATTGTCTATCCCTTTCCCATGGAGCAGCTGGTGGAGTTGAAACTCATGCCTTTGGATTGGCAGCACAGCTCCTTATCACTAGGCCACACTCAATAGATGGGGCCTGTAATAAAGATTACAGCCTAGGAAACTAAGAGCAAATTCTGCTCTGTCACATAAGGTTGTTGTAAGTCAGAATAAATTGACCGCACATAACAGTTTAAGTAACGTCAAGGAATATTTTGAGAGCTATGGCCCACAAACTTGGGTACATCTGCAGACTGTCACTTAGTAAACATTGGTGGACCTTGTAAAGAGCACCATATGTTGCCAAAGCCCTATCATCATTTCTAATTCAGCCTTTAAGCTTACTAGGAATGTCACTGAAATAAAAAAAGCAAGTAGTGATGAGAGCCAAAAGCACATTAATTTACCTTTCATTTTCTTTCCTCCAAAATAATCTCGTCCATCTCAACGCAGCAGTTTGTAAATATATGGAAAAACTCTGTTTCTGAGAAATTATGGAATTGTTAGTGATGTATTTGAAGCATGATGGTTATACCAGAGCCCAAAACCAGGGTCAAGTGAATGTGGCAGAGTTAAAAATTGTGGAAATCTTTTGTTTGAATTTCCCTTTTCATTTTGGCACCAGGAAGTTAGACATACCTAACGGTTTAATTTAGAACATTCTTTCCATAAAGATTGAATATATATTTGAAAGAAAGAGTAATGGCAAACTAAATTTCATAAATATTAAACAGTCTCTACTAGAATTCTTACCCTGGAGAAGTAATTCAGCATCTTTGATTTGTACTTCTGAAAGTTTGCTTGAAAAGTTCTTTATAGTTTATATATGTCTGTGTGTATAGTTTTTTGTTTTTTGGGGTTTTTTTTAAACATAGAACTACATTGAAAGAACACTTGCGAATTCATAGCGGAGAAAAACCTCATCTTTGTAGTATTTGTGGACAAAGTTTTCGTCATGGGAGTTCATACAGGTAAGTCAAGCTATTTTCCTCTCCTAAATTAAGGTATAATTGCCTCTTCATTTTATTTTATCTTGCACCTTTGTTACTTCCCCCCGTTTCCTGTGTATGTGGACTAAAACACCATTACAATTGGGTTTTTTTCCTTTTCTATCCCCATATCACCTCATTTATAACTCAGTGTTAGATATGAAAATACTAGGTAAGTGTACTCTCTTGGATAATATGTATCTATCAGTTATTTAAATTAAATTATTGAATTATTTAAAAGTTAGTTTTTTGTGTACTTTGCAAACATTTATCTTCATTATAAATTTTTTTTTTTATTATTTAGTGATTTGGGGTTTTTTTTTCTGTTTGTTTGGTTTGACTCACTAGCCCTTGTTTTTCATCTCTGATAACCCTCCAAAATTGATTATTTCTGAGTTTAAATGTTTCTTTTTTTAAATATTTGTCAACTTATACCATCTTTTGTGTCTTATGTTATTCAGCATAATTTGTTCTAATTTCATCCATGTTATGCAATATTTGTTAGCTTTTTGTAGTTTTTAGTGATACATAATACTTCATTGTGTCTTAGGTCATTCTAAGCCATGTATTGATGAGAACCTCAGTTGTTTTTGACTCTTTGCTATTATAAATAGTACTGCAGTAACTGTTAACATAGATATATCTGTTCATGTCACAGTTCTTATTTCTTTAGGATATATACCTAATAGTGAGATGGCTGGATCCTAAGGTATTCCTAGTCCCACTTTTTCAAAGGAAGCACCATACTACTCTCCTTGAGAGTGGTAGTACCATTTTACATTCCCACCAATAGTAAATGAGAGTTCCAATCTCTCCATATCCTTGCCAGCATTTCTTTAAGTGTCTTATTGAAGATTGATATTTTTGCTGTTTTCTGTTTTAATTCTATTTTCTTATCATCATCTTAGTGAAGCGTGTTGAATTAAACATTTCTGAGCATATATTGTTTTTATTCCACTATATTAGATACTATTCACTATTTTCTCATCACCGGGTTTGCTTTACCATTTGAACATCATATTTAAATATTTTGTCATATGAATTTTGAGTTGAAATTCACTTAAACTTGATGTTATTTGGTCATATAATACTTTATTATCTAGTAATACTATTGTATAAAAGAATTACAAAATTGAAAACTCTGGGTCTCTGACTTTTAGGAAAATCTTGGGTATAATAATTATATTATCTTCATGGTTGAATCCATAGCCACACTAGCAGTCTACGAGAGGATTTTTTGTGAGCAAGTGTAAAAGAGCAAGGGCCATGTGGGAATGGCCGTGTCTGACCTTTACCAGTTTCACAATGGGAAACTGTTCCCATCAGCAACAGAAAACCAATTCCCATGAGGTTAGACTTGTTCTCCAAGCTCTTATACCTCTATCCATCAATACCAATCTTACTGTTTTGCTGGGTCTAGAATCTACTGAGATAGCTCACAAACCACACAGATCCGTGTAGGAGAAGTCAAACTGTTATAACCCAGGTTAGTAGCAAAATACAGTCAGGATAACTTCCGGAATGTGCATACAGGCACCTCAGCCTTGAGCCTCTCTGTTTTAGACCTCAGCCTTAAACCACTCTGCTTTAGACCAGTATTACAAAGTTCTCAGAACTTCCAATATTGGCTGTCATTCTTCTCTTCCCCCAAATTGTCCAACAAACTTGGGCAGTACCTCTTATTTTAGCTCTGGTTCTGTCCATAGGGTAGTAGCAGCCATCTCATGTCAGGTCTCTCTGGTACTCTACTTTGGCTGTGGCTGCTGCTGCCATCGGTTTAGCTGGAGTAAGAATGTCTGATCTTCACTGGTGGAAAGGGTCTAATCTGCTGCTAGAACTGCTCAATTTATTGATGAAACTACCCAATCCCCTTGCAGATTGGTGAAAGTAGCCAATCCCCTTGTGGTTAGGGTAACATGCCCTACTCGCATGTAGCTTCCCATGCACATAGTGGGGTCAAGCTCTGTGGCTAGGAAAGCCATGTTGTTGTTATGTGTCCTCGAGTTGCTTTTGACTTATAGTGATCCTATCTTGAGCCAATTTCATTTTCTCTGACACACCTCCCCCCATTATCCCAGTCCCTGAGTCAATCCAATCTCATCCAGAGGCTTCCTCTCTTGCACTGTCTCTCCACCCTTCCAAGCATGACATCTGTCTCTAAGGACTGGTTTCTTCTGGCAACAAGCTCAAAATATGTGACACAGAGCTTCAAAATCCTAGCCTCCAAGGAGCAACCTGGCTTAATCTTTTCCAGGATGGACCTGTTTGTTAGCAGTCATGGTATATTGAATACTCAGCTCTAGCACCACAACTCAAAGACATAGATTCCTCTATCATTCTTAGTCATTGTCCAGCTCTCTGATGCATAGCAAGTAAGTGTGAAGACCATGGCCTGGATCAGACACACCATAGTTTCCAGACTGATGCCTTGATCTTCAGTACTCTAGAGAGGTTCCTGACAGCAGACTTTCCCATTGTAATTCGTCTTTTGAGTTCCTGGCTACTGGTACCAAGAGTGCTGATTGCGGAGCCAAGCAAGTTGAAACTGTTAACAATCTCTTCACCATCTATCATAATAGATGCCAGTTGATTCAGTGGTGAGAATCTTTGTTTTCTTGATGTTGAGCTTCAATCTATATTGAAGGCTGCAGTCCTTGACCTTCTGCAGCAAATACCTCAGGTCCTCAATTTCAGCAAGAAAAGTTCATTTGCATAATGGAGATTGTTGATGAGTACCCCATCCCCTGCCTCCAGTTTGAGGAAAGCCATACTGCAAGATAAACTCCACAACAAGTAATAGCTACTTACTGTGAGATACAAATATAATTTAAATTTTTCAATTATTAATCTTAAGAATTCTAATATCACAGCTTTATAATTTACACTAAAATATTGAGGGCTTTAGGTAGGGCTTTAGGTAGATATTTTTTCGTGTGCTTGTTTGCCATCTGAATGTCTTCTTTGGTGAAGTGCCTGTTTATATCCTGTGCCCATTTTTCAGTTGGGTTATTTACCTTTATCTTGTTGTGGTGCTTGAGTATTTTATAAATTCTAGATATACGTGTCTTATCAGACATGTCATTATCAAATATTTTTTTTCCTAGTCTGTAGCTTCCATTTTTATCCTGTTGGAGAAGTTTTTTGATGTGCAGAGGGATTTGATTCTTAGAAGGTCTCAGTCATCTGTTTTATTCTCTCCTGGTTGTAGATTTTTCAGGATGCTTGGAAGACTAATGATGTTGTGGGTTAGGACTTCTAGAGTTCTTCCAAGCTTTTCTTTAATGACTTTTATAGTCCTTGGTTTTAGTCCTAGGTCCATGATCCATTTTTTAGTTGGTTTTTGTGTATGGAGTGAGGTATGGATCTTAAGTTTTCTACAATAGTTTTCTAATTTGCCAACACCATTTGTTAAAACAGCTGTTGTTTTCTCACTTAACTGATTCCATCTCCTTGTAAAAAATAAGTTGACTGTAGGTAGATTGGCTCATTTCTGGATTCTTAATTCCATTCCATTGATCTATGTGTCTTTAATTGTACCAATACCATGCTGTCTTGACCACCACATCAGTGTAGTAGGATTTGAAATCAGGGAGTGAGATGCTTCCTACGTTGTTTTTCTTTTTAAGGAGTGCTTGCTTATTTGGGGCCTCTTTCCAGTCCAGTGAAATTGAAAATTGCCTTTTCCATCTCGTTGAAGAATGGAATTGGTATTTGTATTGGGATTGCATTGAACGTGTAAATTGCCTTTGGTAGTATTGTCATTTTTACAATATCGAGTCTTCCTATCCATGAACAAGGGATATTCTTCCACTTCTCAAGGTCTCTTTTTGTTTCTTGTAGTAATAATGTTTTGTAATTTTCTTTGTATAGATACTTTGTGCTTCTGGTTAGATTTACTCCCAAGTATTTAATCTTGTGATTAGCTATTGTGAAGGGTATTGTTTTTCTTTGCTCCAGTTCTGTATTCTCTTTTTCACTGTAGAGAAATCCAGTTGATTTTTGTATGTTGATCTTGTGTCCTGCCACTTTGCTGAATTGGTCACCTATGTCCAGTAATTTTCTTGCTGAGTCTTTAGGGTTTTCTGAGTATACTACATCTGCATAGAGAAATAATTTTACCTCCTCTTTGCCAATTTGGATACCTCTTATTTCTTTCTCTTGCCTTATTGATATCACTAAGACTTCCAATACAATATTGACTAGGATAGCTGATAGTGGCCATCCTTGCCTAGTTCCTGTTCTCAAGGGGAATGCCTTTAATCTCTCCATGGAGGACAATGTTGGCTTTCAGATTTGCATATATACCTTCTACTGTGTTAAAGCAATTCCCCTCTAATCCTATTTTGTTGAGTGTTTTAATCAGGAAAGGGTGTTGGATTTTGTCAAAGGCCTTTTCTGCATCAATTGATAGGATCATGTGATTCTTGTTCTTTGCTTTGTTAATGTGATGAATTACATTGATTGTTTTTCTTATCTTGAACCATCCTTGAATACCTGTTATGAATCCCACTTGGTCATGATGAATTATTTTTTTGATGTATCATTGGATTCTATAGGCCAAGATTTTGTGGTGATAAATTATTTAAGTTGAAATATATTTTGATAATCTAAATCTTTTAGAATCTGCCTTTGGGTAGCTTTAAAATAAGCAATACTGAATAATAAACCACATAAAATTCATTACTATTATTAGATTCTGACTTGGAAATTCTCTAGTACAGTGTAGTATAGCTCTTTAGAGTTTCCAAGGCTGTAAATATTTGTAGAAGCCGTGTGCCAAGTCTCTCTCCTGCCGCGTGGCTAGAGGATTTAACTACCAGACTTTCGTTTAGCAACTGGATGCTTTAACCACTGGACCTTCAGTGCTCCTTTTATAAAGCCTAACTTATGCACTCACTGCTATCAAGTCAGTTCTGAATTATAGCTGGCCCTCTGTTGGCTTTACAAGGCTGTAAATCACAATAGGAGGAGACTAACTATCTTTTTGCCATGCAGCTGCTGGTGGATCCAAACTACAGAGATTTGTTAGTGTTTGCAGCTCCCCACAGGCTATGCTACCAGTCTGGTATTTGTATAATACAATAAATTCTTGACTATCAGTTTTACAAGGCATCCGTTTTCTGACATAAGGTTAATTTACAGGTGTTTGCTCTTTTGTTTCTTGTCATTATAATTCTTTATCACTTATTTGTATGTTTACCCCATTTGTTTGGTTATACTTCATATTCGCTTCTAACTATTATATCGTGAGACGTGGCTCATCAAGTAGTTAACAATCCAGGACATGTAAAAGTTGCGTGAAACAAATGTAGGATGTAATTCAGGAACAAATATCATCTGAAAGTGATGAGAGTATGTACAAATGTTGAAATACTTTTTTTGAAAAAGGTAAATAGGATCTCTGATTTCAGGTAGTAAAAGAAAGGAGAATCTGAAAGGCAGTAGAAATGGAACAATTAAACTAGATAGGTGACTGAATACATATTCCTGTTTTTTATTATTTATAACTCACAAAGCTTTTTTCTTCTGTATTACTTGTTTCAGTGCCCTTTATTTTAAATTTTTTTAACAGACTTCACTTACGAGTACATCATGATGATAAAAGATATGAATGTGATGAATGTGGAAAAACCTTTATTCGTCATGACCACCTTACAAAGCACAAAAAAATACATTCAGGTAAGTTATAGTTTGTAGTGTTGCTTCTGACATCCATTGTTGCATCTGAATAAAATGTAATCATGTTGGCTATCATTTTAATGTATAATTTGATCACTCCTATAAATCTGGTTTTAAACGTTTTTTGCTTAAAAAAAAATCCGAAAGGAACATGATTCTTTAAAATAATTGCTGTAATTTTAGCCATTTGCCCACTCCTCACTGACTATAATGTATATTGTCTAAAATTTTATTTTAATAAAGTTCTCAAATTGTGGGTTTTGTGTTACATGGAACTGTTTACAATAATTACCATTGATACTACCTTAAAGGGAGATGCCTGGGTAATATATTTTGATTTTTGACTGGATTTGAGAAGAAGTAGGTGTTATTTAAGCGTTTAAAGAAAAATTATTATAAGTGGTTGTTTATATTTTAGTGAAACTTGATACCCTAAAGTGTATGTTTATATTTTAGTGAAATTTGATATCCTATTTATGGAAAAAAAGTCTTATCCTGATCAATTTCAGATCTTTGTACTGTATTCATCATTTTTATGTTGTAGAGACTTCTTTTATATTTTCCTCTTAGATTGGTGTTCAGAGAGTGTTAAGAGAGCCAGCTTTATGAGCACATTAAAGGGGAAAGAGCCATCTGAATGAACATATTTGTTGCTGTTGTGTGCCGTCGAGTAGGAGCCAACCCATAGCTGACCCTCTGGCAGTTTTTCAGAGGCAGTTAATTGCATAGGAGGAGATTACCCATCTTTCTCCCTCAGAGCAGCTGGTGGATTTGAACTGTGTGGCATCAGGATTACCGCACATTAGACCATTATACCATATGAACTTATGAGAGCAGGTGATTAATATTATTATTATTATTATTATTATTATTTGCAACAATTTAAATATAAAAATGCACCAGATAGTAATTATTTTCTTAAATGATCTCTGAGGTACATTTCAGTCGTTACCACCAATTATAGTAGAAGCTAAATGGTGAGGGTAGCTCTGGTGACCTAGTAGATAGGGAGTAATGCTGCCAACCCAAGGGTAAGTGGTTCAGATCCATTAGCTGCTCCACAGGAGAAAGATGAGCAGTGTTCTTTCATACAATTTACTGCCTCTAAAAACTCATTTGAGTGCCAACTATGCATTGTTTTGCCTTGCTGCTATATAACAACCACCAAAAGAAGCCTGATAATGTTTTGTGGGTTTTTTGTTGTTTTTTTTTTTAAACCAGGTTATATATTTTAAATCTTAGGAGAAAAGTTCTAAATTCCTAATTGTAGTAGTCACATTATTTGCACAGTGGCATTACGTTTTTCAAACTCTAATTCCCATTGACATTGACTCATACATGGCTGACCCTTCAGTACATTTTCAGAGGCTGTAAATTACACAGAAGGAAATTTTCCTCTTTTTCTTATGGAGCAGCTGTTGGATTTGAACTACCTATTTTTAGGCTAGCAGTGCAACTCCTTACCCATTAGACCACCAGAGCTCAATTTTAGGAGTGATTTTTAAAGAAGTCTTTATAACTGAACTTTGTCATCATACTCTTCATTGATGTCAAATTGAGATTGACACATAAGTGACCCTCCAGTGGGTGATATTAATATGTAAATCACACTGGAAAAGTTTGTTTAACTTTCTCCTGTGAAGTCATTGTTGGATTCCCACACAGAGAAGCCTACCTTTAGGCTTAGAAGTGCAACTCCTGGCCAACTATGTTTACCAGAGCTTGTTGTAACTAAACGTAAAGGATGAAAATTTAGAATCTACTCGAATATTCCTTTGCTTTTATATCATGGTTTATTGCAAATATTTAAAAATATTCTACATACCAAGGTAACATACAAAGATCTGAAAATGTTTGGGTTCTTTTATAAGATTTATTTTTATTTTATGTGTGCTTATTTGAAGTGTTTGACCTCTAGCACTATTATACAATGTGTACTCTCTAAACTCTCTACATTTGCAAGTAATTAGCTTGATGTTCAGTGTTGGCTAAGATTCAAAATTTGCAGATAAAGGGCTACTGATTTCCTCTTCATCATGGGAGGGCATTTACATCATTAAAATCATTAGGAAAAATATTTGAGTGAGGAATGTAAAGTACATAGTCCAGAATCATGGACAGTTTTATTGATATATTTCACACTATGTAATCTTACTGTTTGATAATTAATTCTGGAGAGAAACCAACAATAACAAATCTCTAAAACTGAAATATGTTATTATAATACATACATTTGGGTCTTTATTTTAAGGTGAAAAGGCTCATCAGTGTGAAGAATGTGGAAAATGTTTTGGTCGTAGGGATCATCTTACTGTTCATTATAAAAGTGTGCACCTTGGAGAGAAAGTGTGGCAAAAGTAAGTGAAGAAAAGCTTTTCACAATTAGTACAAATAAGTCTGTTAGAGGAAAATTGTAGCTTTTTTTCCTAATTGATGTTTAATTGTGGACAGCTTGACCAGCTCTATTTCTCTAACTTTTGCAGCTTCTCTGCAGACTTAAGAAATTGAGCAAGACATTCCTCCTCCTATTAAATTGTTTTTAATGATTCAAAAGTAAGGAGATTGTAGATATTGAAATTCATGATTCAATATAAATATTAGGGGGGTTTCATTTATATTATTGTGCCTTTTTATATTGCCCATGTATTATACTTAATTAGGAAATTTTTGTAGACAAAATTGAAGGCCTAATTCTAATCACAGTAAACATTGAAAGCAATATTTATGTACTGTCTCGGACACCAAATTTTTAATAATAATCTGGATATCCAGATTAAACTTAAGTTTATTGCTGAGTGTAAATTTTAAACAATTTATAATCTTCTTTTTTCCATTCATTCATTATTGTACTTTTCTCCCTGCCCAACCTCCCTCCCAGTTCCCTCTTCTCTTTGAAAAGGAAAAGAAAAATTCTTTCATTGTTATACAATCCCTCCCCCCATGTTCACGCCACTACGCAGCCTCTGTTCTGGACTCCTGTCATGACAATAATACCTAATTATATATCCCTTTTAAACAGTTCTCTCTGACATCGGGGTTAGGGGGAGACTGAGAAAGATGGGATAAATTATGTATACTGCATTGAAACAGATGAGGGAGAGAACAATTCATATTCTTGTATTAGCTATTTTGGGGCAAATGCTAACTAATAGATATTCTCTAAGGTTCTGAAGAACTCAGTTTAATGGTCTAAGCATCAATAATTTTGTATTATATATATGTATATATATATAATTGTTTATTATATATAGTTCATTATACATTATTATTATTATTGTAATAATATATATACTTCAAGCTCTTTATATATAGACAGTTTGAAGAACATTTTTCCATTAGATCAATTTATTCGTTGAATTTATATATTCATTTTGTGCTGGGTGTGTTTCAAAGGACTGGTATATTATGACTTCTGTGACATTTTACAGGAGGAAGAAGACGACCTTCCGAATACTGTATAATTGGACAGGAAATAAACTTAGAACTAGAGACTTACTTGTTTCAGAGGCTCAAACTTTTTTGTTCAGTGACCCTTTATCTCTTTCAAAGTTATCACATACTTGAAGAACTTCTGTTTATATGGACTTTTCTGTTTACTGTATTAGAAATTAAAAAAACAGCCTTCAGCTCATTGTTGACTTACTCATTTAAAAATAGCAGCTATCTATCTATCATATGTCACTATAAATAACAATATTCTGAAGTATACATACAAAACACATCAAAAAGAGACTTGGAAAGAGTGCCATTGTTTTCCCTTTCTTTGCAAGTCTCTCTAGTGAGAAACTTACATTGGTAAAATACAGCTGTATTTTCATAGTTGTAATATTATTATAGTGGTTGAAATAAATGAAAAAATCCAATGTCACATCAATACATAACAGGAAAAAAGAGGATTATATTAGTCTTTTTATGCAATTGTAAGTATTCTTATTTTATTGTACTCTAAAACTAAAGTGAGAGTTGCTTAGTGTGAGTTACAAGTTGCTGTTGTTACTGTGTGCTGTCAAGTCAGAACTGACCCATAGTTGACCCTCCAGTAGAGTTTTCAGAGGCTATAAATTACACAGTTGGAGATTGCCCATTCTTTTCCCTCTGAGCAGGTGGTGGATTTGAACCAGCTAGCTTTAGGATTGCAGTGCAGCTTCTTACCCCCAGAGCTCCCTTATTTTAATGAAGTTCCCTTACTTTCTTCAGTTCAGTCCACTGAGCTATCTCATACACTGAATGACTTTTTAACTCATGCATAATTTTATAATGCCATTTATATAAGCATTTGGGAAATATGAGTTAATTTTATTTGCAGATTTTCAAAATATTGATAGTTTTCACAGTACATTATACCAAACCACATTTGTTAATTACCTCCAAACTTTCAGAAAGAAATAATCACAAGGACAAATCCAACTTTTCTAAAATTCATTTATTTTCATTTGAAAGTTCACATTTTCCCTTTGGCAACAAATATTGTCAGCTGTTATCTTTGAAATGACACTTGAATTTTCATTAAAATCTCCACCAGCTACTCATTTCTGTACAACCATAGTTTATTTTTCAGTCATACTTTTGAAACTGTATAAATTGTATCTCATGAAGAAAGTGACTAATTCAGTTCACAAATCAAACTTTCACAGGTGCTTTCTTATCATATTTTAGTATGCAGTACAGGTGTTTCTTTTAAAAAGTCAAAGTATACTTCTAATTTCATCACATAGAATATTAAGAAACAGAGATCTGAAAGGTGGTTTTTGTTATTATGTCGCATCAAGTCAGAATCAACCCTCCAATGGGTTTTCAGAGGCACTAAATCACCCAAAAGGAAACTGCTCATCTTTCTCCGGAGGAGCAGCTGGTAGATCCAAACCACTTGCCTTTGGGTTGGCAGTGCAACTCCCTACCACTAAGCCACCAGAGCTGCCCCTGAAAGGTAGAAATTTAATAAAATTAGTAACTCTTACTGCTTCATCAGGGGAAAACTGACAGGTGTTTTCCCCTCCCATGTGTATGGTAGTGGCGAATACAGTGACTGTTAGTGCAGTTTGGTGTTAATAGTATATGTGAATGCCTTTGCATCATTGGTGTGAATGTTACCACAATGGGGAAAAATTAATGATGTCTTAAGTGTTATTTGGACAGTAGATTAGTCATGTGGGCCTTATGAAAGTATTTTGAGTATATGCCCCTTGCTGCCCTCCCCCCACCCACCCACACTTCAAAGACCTGTAGGTGTATTTACTATCTAGATAGTTGTGAAACCAGGACAGGTAGATTCCGTTTGCTACAAGAACTGGAGAATAGGGACTGTAAAATATAGTACCTTACATATTATTTTGAGGGACTTTGTAATGTGTGATAAAAAGCCTTTAAATATTTGTAACAAGCATTATATAGCCAGATTTATGTTTAAACTGATTAATCTTACTGATGTGTAGATGTTTGGTTTGGGATGGATGAATCTTGAGGCAGGTTTATCAACCAGTTAGGAGGACATCATAATCTAGCTAAAAGATGTTAAGTACATAAAGTTGGGGCTGGTTTTAGTATATAGAGTTGAAGATACTTATTTGAAAATATGTAGTCTCTATTGGTAATGCTTGATGACTTTGGGATTGAGGATGTGAAAGCAGTCAAAGCTGATTTCTATTTTCAAGCCTGTACAGTGTCAAGAAGCTGTACTGCAATCCCAAAGCGTGTGCGTGTGGTTCAAATCCATCAGCTGCTTTGCAGGAGAAGGATTGGTAGTCTCCTTCCTTGTGATTAACTGCTTCTAAAACCCTGCTCGAAGGTCAGCTATGGGTCATTTATGACTCAATAGTGTATAGCAACAATATAGGTGGTATATGCCACTAAATATAGTGTCTGGTAGATGGGGTAAGCTTACTGAGGGCGATGACGGGTTATTTGGCTTATATAGAGTTTGTGATGTTCAGTACAAAGTATCAACTTGAAAGATGAGAATGAATATTAGTCTAATGCTTCAGGATACAGTATAGTCTTAGATAAAGATGTAGGGTTGTTAGCATGTTGAAACAGATCATCTTGAAAGAGAATGTGAAGACCACCACTTCCAGTTATTCCCTGGTGTCCCTTCTTCCCACCTAAACTTTTCAAAAAGTAACTTGATCTTAATGGTCAATTTTCCAGTCTTACTTGCTATTATAGGCTGCTGTGATATGATCTTACTGAAGTTCTCAAATTACCTTCGGTATTAGCACATGCAAGCAAGATTCTGCTGAAGATTATCCAAAAACGACTGGAACAGCACATCAGCAGAGAGCTGCCAGAAGTCCAGGCTGGGTTTAGAAGAGTTGTGGTATTAGGGATATTTTAGCTAATGATAGATAGAACTTAACTGAAAGCAGAGAATACTAGAGGAATGCCTGTCTGTCTTTCAGTGACTATGCAAAGGCGTTTGACTGTGTGGATCATAACAAACTGTGGCTGACTCTGAGAAAAATGGGAATCCCAGAACACTTGATTGTGCTAATGTGAAACCTCTACTTGGACCAGGAGGCAGTCATCAGAACAGAGCAAGGAAACACTGCATGATTCAAAACTGGGAAGTATGTAGGCCAGAGATGTGTCCTAGCTCCATACCTTTTCAACCTATATGCAGAACAGGTTAACCAGAAGGCTGGGCTCTATGAGAATAAGTGTGGCATCAGGATTGGAAAATCTGTCAACAATCAGCGTTAGGCAGATGACACAACCCTGCTTGCTGAAACTAAGGAGAACCTGAAGCGCTTGCTGCAGAAGGTCAAGGACTACAGCCTTCAATAGCATGTCCAGGACAGCATCTGTTTGTTGAAATATGTCAGCATTCCATCAATTCCTGGACTTTATTTTTGCCAAGTCCTTCAGAGCAGTCTGTACTTCCTCCTTCATCACCTTTGTCTCTTGATCATATATTGTTGAAATTCTTTTATGTCAGCCAATTCTTTTTGGTACAGTGACTCTGTGTACTCCTTCCATGTTCTTTTGATACTCCCTGGATCATTCAATATTCTATCCATAGCTTCCTTAAATATTGCAAGTAGCAGCTTGAATTTGTTCTTTAGTTTCTTCAGCTTAAGATATACTGAGCGAGTTTAGTGCTTTCAATTTTCAGACTGCAGCTCCTTGCACATTTCGTTATAATTTGATTTTAAAATGTTACAGGGATGTTTGAGTTGTGGTGTTGGAGAAGAGTCTTGAACATACCATGGATCACCAGGCAACAAATAGATCTGTCTTGGAGAAGGTGAAACCAAGTTTCTCCTTAGAGGCTAGTATTTTGAAGCTCCATCTCACTTACTTTGGGTATGTGATCAGGAGGGACTGGTCATTGGTGCAGGACATCATGCTTGGAAAGGGTGGAGGGACAGCTCAGGAGAGGAAGACCCTAAATGAAATAGATTGATAAAGTAACTGGGGCAATGGAGTTAGGTGTGTCAGAATTAGTGAGGCTGGCTCAGGACAGGGCAGGCTTCAGAACTTTTGTACATAAGGTTGCTATGAGTTGCAGGTGACTCAAGAGCACAAAACAACAGCAACAACATTGTGTAATAATATATATGTAAAATCCACATATATATGTACATAAACCATGTAGATGTATGATGAGCCCTGATGGCATAACAATTAAGCATTTGGTTGCTAGCTGAAAGGTTGAAAGTTCATATTCGCTCGGTAACTCTGTTGGAGAATGACTGGCAATCAACCTTTGTAAAGATTACAGCCTCAAAAATTTCTTATGGTCATTATGAGTAGAAAATCAGCTCAGTGGCAACATACTTGCATACAAATGTGAGATTATGAGTCAAAACCTAGAGTTTGAAAAGAGGGGCTAAACTGGACTGATTAGAAGATATTCATATTTAAATGGTAGATAATGATTCATTGTTAATTAAGAACTCAGGAAGGATTTGGCTGTGCATTTCTCCAATTCTTTATGTCATCAGTGATTCCGTTAGCTGAAATCACTAGCACTGTTCAGTTGAAAACTGAAAACTGGTCATAATTTTCCAGATGGCCTTCCTCATACGCTTAGTTAGCATGTTGGGAGAGCTGAGCTCAGCTGAACTGGTTCCGCTTCACTGTGTAGTGTAGACTGCTTAAAGAACAAATCAGCCTGTCATGTAACAAGTGTAGCCAGAGTCCTCCTTTGAAAAAAAGATTGAGAGTTTATTGTACTTACTTTGGGCATGTTGTTAGGAGGGACTGAGCCTTTATAAATGGATATCATGTATGGAAAGGTATAGAGGTGACAAAGAAGATGAAGAAGTACTTTAATGAAATATATTAGTAGAATGCAACGGTGAGCTTTAAGAGATTGTGAAAGAATGACACAGGATTGGGCACATTTTCAGTCTGTTATAAATAAGGTCAATATAGGAAAGTCTGCTGTTAGGAACCTCTCTTAAGTACGGAAGAGCAGTGGTGTTTCTCTGGAGACTAAAGTGCGTCTAATACAGGCCATGGTCTTTGCAATCACATGTTATGCGTCAGAGAGTTGGGCAGGGAGGATAGAAGGAGAATTGATGCCTTTGAGCTGTGGTGCTGGAGAAAAGTATTGAGGGTACCATGGACTGCTAAGAAAACAAACCGATTCATCTTGGAGAAAGTTAAACTGGGAGGCTTCCTGGAGGCAAGGATTCTGAGGCTTCGTCTAACATGCTTTGGTCACGTTGTAAGGAGAGACCGATCCTTGGAAAAGGACATCATGCTTGGGAGGGTGGAGGGCAGACACAGGAGGGGAAGGCCCTCTAGGAGATGGATTGATTTGGTGACTGGGGTAATGGGGATGAGTGTGTTGGAGACAATGAGTTTGGCACAGGACAGAACAGAGTTTAGGGCTGTTGTACATAGGGTCGCTATGAGTCACAGCAACTCGACGGCACATAACAACAACAACAACATGAGTTAAGAGTTGACTTCGTGGAACTTAGCAACAAAAAGCTTTGAGAATTTTTGTTTTTCTGCAAAATTTTATTCTATATAGACCCGACCTCTAAGTTACAGAACTGTTGACATTTGGGGCTGAGCAGGTCTTTCTTGTAGGAGATTGTCTTGTGCATTATAGAATGTTTAGATATATCCATCACTTCCCTGTACCAGGTGACAGTAGCACCACAATGCCCTAATTATGGAAAACAAAAATGTCCTCAGATACTGCCACTTGCTCCATAGAGGTCAAAATGTCATTGATTCAGTACCTTATATGTTCTCTAACATTATGATTCCAAAAATAACCCTTTCTGTATGTCCTCATGGTGACCTTGTTCATATTTGCATTTAGTACTTACTGTGGACTTAAATAGCAAGTTCTGATGGTGTAGTCTGTAGGGAATTGTGCTTCTAACCCAAAGGCAGCAGTTCTATGGTGGTTTGAGCGTACCAGCAGCTCCACAGAGGAAAGATGGACTGTCTCCTCCCATGTGATTTACAGCCTCAGAATCTTGCTGGAGGGTAAGCTGTGAGTTATCTCTAACTCTGTGGTAGTGATGTGAGATGATGATCGTGGATGGGAATTGAATAAGAAACCAAGCATAGTGTTTAAGAATCTCATGTAAATTTTATCAATGACTCCTCCTTACAGTTAATAAAATCTAAATTCTCTTTTCGGAATTCTGTCTAATCAAGTAGAAGATCCTAGAGGAGAGAGTGATATGACTTATTTTTACTAAAGCATAGGTACTCTAATTAGGGTAATTGATGGGTTTGCTGATTTGAAAACTGTAAATGACTTGTGAAACCTTAGACTCACTATGCTATTTAATTTGAGCAATGTGCTGAACAGTTCAGTAAATCTCAGTGGATCTGTTATGAGAAAAATATCTTTTAAAAAAATTTTATTTTATATTGGTTTTAAAGAACATCATAGTAGGCTAGGTTTGAGTTCATTATTTTACTCTGTTACATGTCTTCATTAGAATTACTGCATAGGTGAGTTGATGTGGTGTTCCCAATAACTACTCTTTAAATCTAAACGTTTTACATCTTAGTGAATACTCAAAACAATTTAAATTTGAGCCCAGAATTTGTTTACCTTTGAAACACTTTTAGGTACTACATTATGCTGATCAATCAGTTAACTTTTTAAGAATAAGTTAACTTTTGTATTATTCTAGATTTATGTCTATCTATAAAAAAGACTAGTAT